AAAAGGGTAGCAGCAGTCGACATATGTTGAGCGAGATTCATCGAATAAATATGTATTCTTAGTTTCAAGATGTTTGGATCATTGTTAGCTGTGTATCTTGATAACTGTGTAACTGTGTATTCAGTGGCTTCAACACCAGCTTCTTGAGGTGAGCCGAAGGCCGCTCCAGCGGCGGCACGGCTCGCGCGGCTTTGCCGTGCTGTGAACGAAGTGAAGACCAAGGCGGTGCAACTGGATGCTCAGGTGGGGCGACATAATGGGTGGATTCACTGCAATAAAAAGACAAATGTTTGTCAAGAGATTGGTCTCAGATAGTGGTAACAATTCACGCGAAGGACAAATTGAGTGTGTGAGCGTTGGATTTTTTTCAGTGTTTGCGTATGTATTGGAGTGTCAGGTTGCTGAGCAAGGGCAACCAATTGTTTTGTGTCGTTAGTTACAGTTATGTTATAGTTGTTACTCAGATCCTTGTCTTTCTGCGTTTGTTTGGGGCATTTGTTTGGTTTGACCTTTGTTTGAACTCCTTGGCAAGGCAAAGAAGATGCAAGAAACTGTGCTCTTGCCGCGGCCACATGATACCGCCCCGGCCGTGCGAAGGTGAGGTTGCAAGTGCTGACAGCAGTAGGGTGACACGCTGCCCACTGCGTCAGACAAATCACCAAATCACTGGCAATTTGGGTGGATAGACAAGCACTCTGATTTTTGTGAGAGAAAGTGGCAGCTGGGGAAGTGAGGATTGTCATAGAACGCTGCCCAAGTTGTCCTTCAGCCTTGAATCCAACAGACTTATATTGTCGTTGTGCAATGCACTGTCATACACTTCGGGAGGTTGTCCTTGAATGCTTTGGGACGCATGATGAACTTGGGCCTCCTGTGGTGGCCGGAGCGTGTCTTGCGTAGCCTTTGTGCCCGGACTCCTGGGTGTGTTGGAGGTGTGTGGAGGTGTATATATATATATATAATGAGTCCAATATGGGAAATGGCTTCAAACTTTAATAAATTAACAAGGCAGGTGTTCTAAATGGATCTAAATGGGATTTGTCGAACTGCCCGCATGGCCCTGTTAGTGCACCAGGCAGCGGTGACAAATCAACATGAACTGCCTTATTTTCTGTGCTTCTAGATCCCAGGTACTGCAGGTGCTCATCACTCATAACGTTCGTTTTTGACATCCATCGGCACAGCTGTGACAATCAAGCGCTTCAACATCTTTGCTCGATGTACTTTGAGTGTTTCGATGCATACCTTTAGCAGCCGGACTTCTTTTTCTGGGACTACTTTGTGAGAGAGCTCTTAGGCATGTTGAATTGTTTGTCCTCGTATTGCATCAACGTGACCATGTGTACACCAGAACGGGTATATACGTTTTTTTCCATGCCTCGAGATGAGAAGTGTTGCTCCCATGTCCATTTCCTGCAACGGGTAGCTTGGACCAGGGAGTTTGAAGCACACCACATCGATCATTGTTCATTTCTCAGTTTCTTTTGATTGTGAACATGCTTATGCTGCATGGCTTTTGGAAGCTGTTGCGGTTGCCATGATGTTTGCTCATTGAACTTCAGAATGTGTGGCGTAGGGCTTGTAGCATCTTGTAGCCTTATCATAGACGTTTCAAGTTTGGCTGCTTGCCTACCACTGTGATCCTATTTCCAGTTCAACAAAGCGAATGGAAGGGCCTTGCGTCGTTTTCTCCGGAAGGACCCCGCCACGGAAGTGCGAGTGCAAGCTGTGGAGTTGGTAGGCGCTTGGTTCGAGGCACCTCAGGACCCACGTGGAGACTTAAGTCATTTCTTCCTTCATTAGTCATTAGTCTAGGACTAACTGACTAACTAGAAGTGGTTGTCAGATGGACGTCTCAGTGCGACGTCTCTATGTTGAAAGTGAGTTCATTTTTAGAACCACATTTTGATGTTCAGCTTTGAACACAAAACGGTCGCGCTGAGCCGCAGAACGAACTCAATTTGCACAGTTAAATTATGCATCCAACTGGCCCATCGTGCCTTGTCTTCCTTCAGGGGTCAGATGATCATGCTGCAGAGGCACCAGAGGCAATGGGGAACAAGGGCTAGGAGTTTCATGAAGCCCGATGCTTTTAGAAATCATCGTTGAAGCATTGAACCTGCTTCTTGGTAGTTGTTATCAGGTTGATTCCACACATCATCAGCACTTGCGACGGCAGAATCGAAAGTGATTGTTGCTTAAGCATCGGCAGGTGAAAGATTAAGTATCCGTGCTTCAAAGCTTGGCAACTGCCAAACATCTACTAGTAGCTCCTGGCCTTACTACTAGTAACAAGGACGCTACTAGTAACAAAGGGCATCGTTACTAGGAGGTTACTAGTATCTCTACCCGGTGGGCACAGGCAGCTCGATGGTTGGCCGAGCGAAGCCGTGATACGGAGCCGCGAGTGGCAGCATTGGCAGTGAGGCAACTGAGGCTGCAGGGATCTCGGGGCCGTCCGTTGACAAAATGTGTTGCTAGCCAAGTTGCTTTTTCAAACATAGACTGGCTATCGCGGCTATATCACGGCTAGGCTATATCATGTATATATAGAGCTCCGGATTATGCTATTACAAACATCGTGGAGTAGGCAGAATATGACCAACATGAAAATACATGACGTGCCCATGTCGACAGTCATGGCCTCTCTTTCGGACCAATGCGAAAGTCATGTTATACACCCGTCACGCACGCTGACTTGTAGCCGTACAAGTGGGGACAAGGGGGAAGGTAAGAGGACGGACTTGACTATAGGTTCTATTGCTTGTAGTAGAGGGCCTATGATTTGCTCGCTCTAGAAGGCTGGATCCCTATTCAGCCTTTGCGTCTAGGACCTAGGAGAATTGTCTTATGCCGGGGAAATCTATAATAATAACCTATCATCACATCGACTTCTGTGCACCTACTGTGTATTGATCAACTTGTGGCTACTATCCCCGGCTCCTACGAAGCATTTTCTATGGAAGAAAACATAAGAACACCAACGAACATGCATGATCATAGTCATTCCATGTCATCCCCTTCCGCCAGGCGTGCAGCCCTGGCCTCGCAGCTCTCGGATTCCAACTTCGAGCAGGTATCGATGCTCTCCCTGACAGCGCCGGACCGAGACAACGAACACGTCTGACGGAGAGAAGAAGCTGGGAACCATCGCTGGTAGGTTAAAAGTTGGAGGCCATCGTTATTAGTTTCCCTAAAAATCTAGGAACCAAATCATTAGCGCTTCAAGGAAGCTCCCCCCGCCTGGGGCGTGAGCTATCCTGCGTCCTACCTAGAAGCTTAAGTAGATAGTAGCTGACTCGTTTAAAGCAGATGAGTTCCGGGTTGTGCCCTTTAACTGGACAGACGGAGGTGAATCCACAAAAGATTCTACCAATCAGCTACAACTATAGACAATCAGGTATTGGGATCCAATGTCCAATCCACAATAAAAAAAAATCAGAGTTCAAACAAGTGGTCGCTACAATGTCTTATTTCAGGAGGTGTTCAATCAGCAGTACATCAGCCCTGCGCGTATCTGGATCAAACTCGAACCTCTTCATTTGTTTGCTGTCAAGGAGTCAGCACCGTGTGGAAGGATGTAGAAGCCAACGTCTTGCAACCGTCGGATGCATTCTTTTGTCGTGTGGTGACAATACAAAAAGCAAACACCAACGTTTCAAAAACGTAAACTATTGTAAAACGAGCGCAACATGAGAAGGAGTGGAACCAGGAACCGTTTAAACAAAAACGCCAAACATCATAGAAGTACGTCAAAAAAGTGGGTGTCCTTTGGAAACCGTCGGATGCATTCTTTTCTTATGTGGTGACATCAGTTCTACGGGTCATGTCCTTTTTAGCGGTGATCGGTCGTGATTCATTTGTTTGTGATTTTTTGTTGCAGTTTGGAAAACCTAGTTTCTATCAATGAGCGAGCAACATACTTCAATCGTGGTTCAACGGCGTCTCTTTACTGGAGGCAGATGTGTTTTGCTTTAAACTTTGTGCTATTTTGCATGTTTTTTTTTCAAACAGTTTGGTGGATACTGAACACATTTGGGCGGTTGCGAAGCTTGCCTTTTATGGGAGAGTGTATACTTCACCAGGTGGCTCCAAAGACCAGTGCCTGGGGCAAAAAGTTGAAGTGCCCGGAGGACAGCCATGGTCTTCTAAGAGCTGAAGCAGCACTCTTCGTTGAGCAGCACCTCTTACCCGATCCAGGTCACTGTATTCACTTTGAAAGGATTTTGACAAACTGACGACACAATTGTAGTCTTTCTCAGGTCAGGTCCTCTACCCAGCTTACTAGCAGTTCAACGAAGTAGTCCTGACAAACCACCCACCATGCATGCACAATGCAGCACCGGCTAAGCTAAAGAAAACATCATATATACAGTATTGTATATTAACTGCTGTATATATATATAGAGTATATCATTGTATATCAAACCATATGCATCCATATGCCCAGCAAATAGCCTTTGCACGCCTTCGCATTGTCAAGGTGCATTCTGTTGCATCAGAATGTGTTTTGATTCAAGTAGATGAGGGCGATCAACCTTAGTCCACGGATTCTGCAGGTCTTGGGATTGCTGTGAAACGTGGCGAAGAGGCACTCTGACACCGTGACTCCGTTTCGAGCAAGAGTTGTGAAAGGCCAGCACACGATGATGCCGCTCCCAAGACCGTCAGCTTTCAACCCCACAAATACCATTGATCCTTCTTCAAGAGCAGTCGTCCAATTCAACAAGCAAACTCTTGGTCTTGGAGCCTTGTTTTGGGCCTTGGATCGATCTACAGGCTGATGCTGAAGACATTGAGCGCCATTTCACCACGGAGCAGCTGCTTTGCATTCAGAAATCACTTGTGATGTTTGCAGTCGGGAAGTAGAATAATAATGATGGCCGTAAAGTGGCCTCAGCGGGTAAAACGAAAACCACTAAAGCTGGAAAACATAGACGCGCAAAAACAACACATACAGTAGCAAACCGAAACTCACAACAAAAGATGAACTATAGAAAAGGACTCAGAGCCAGACTCAAGTAAGAAGCAAGAAAATGTGCCATCACGGAAACAGAACGCAAAGTGCAACGTACCGTGGGTGAGGAGGCTCTGAAAGATTTAAAGTTATGTTGTTTCCTTTTTTTTGCAAGTGTTATCAATGGTTTGTTTTTTTGGTGAATTCACACTCACAATTCTCGGAAATTTGCTCTACCCGCTATGTGAGAGCGACAGGCAGTGACACGTCGCATGCGTGGCGTGAAGCTTTGCTTGGAACTGTCGCAAGGCATGGATTGATCGCAGTGGCAGACTTTTTGACCAGCTACCTCAAGGACGTTGTTCTGTGGAAATGCGTGGACGTCAAGCAATGCAGCTTATATCAGCTTATAACATATGACCCTATCATCCAGCGTCATATGCCCAGTAGAAAAGTCAAGCGCGATACTCGACATCGGCTTGAGGGATGCTGCGCAAGCTGGGTACTTCTGAGGGGTTTCCCAATGCCTCCCAACTCTTTTCATTATTGTTGTTTTTTTGTAAAGGCAAAGATGTTTGTTTTTCATGTTGTGATTATGCTTACGGATATCTACGAATCTAAAACCGTTTGCTTCGCCCGCACGGTTTAGAGCTTCATGTGCCGCATATGTTTTTGCTCCAGAACACTTCAGGAGTTTCAGGCAGGCGCATGTGAATTGAAGATAATGCAACATGCATACACGCGCTGCCACATGCACACGCATGCTATTGTGTTCAATTGCATAGACGCATGCAAAGATATGCAAAGATGATGCCACACGCACATTAGAGCGGCACCAGATTTGGATGACGGGGGTGGGGTTGCGTGGGGGAATGATGTTCAGTTGGATGTGCTTCGAAGATAATACCACATGCATACTCACGCATGCTACGAGGCATGTGAGGCATGTGCGCTGTGGACCTTTGGGTTGATTGAAAGTGCACGCGTGCAAGATAGGTGCCTGCGGGAGCCTGGCCAAGCAGTTTCTTCCAAACAGATTGCTTTCTTTGTAAGAAAGGCAGAAACAAAGATGTCGTGGCCTAGCTTCGCTGCAAGAAAGGTCAAAAGGATTTTGCTGTCAAAGCCAGGCAAACACCTCTCTAGCCAAAACCAGAGTTTTTCTGTAACGTTTCACGCATTTCGCATTTAGTACTCTGTCACACCGACAGATGAACATGGGTGCTGATTTTGACCATGGGAAGTCAAAGTGCACAAAAAACACGGGGCTTTAGACCCGTAGGATGATTATGATATCAAAGCGGCAACAGGCACCAAATTTATTTGAACTATGCAGGAGGGCAGCTCCGCTGTCAAGCAGATCGTTCAACAGTTGGCTTCGGCCACATCTTTGCCTCTCCACCTGAGACCGGTTTGAATGAGTTGCAAGTATGCCAAGGAATTGGCACTGGGCATGCCACGCCTCCTGCCCAAGGTGAAAGGCCCGGGAGTGAAGTGGCAACTCGTAATTGACAAATGCCGCACTCCAACGAACCGCATCCTTAGTCTGGCATGCAGAGCCATGGAAGCTGCTCTCAACTCTATGCCGAGACCTTGGTGGTCGGACTGCAAATCTGTTCAAGAAGTGGTGACCTTGAGCAACAATTGCAACAAGCATCTTCGTGCGCTCTTTGCCAACAACTTTGATTGTCTTTGTCTCACTGTATCCGCCGACATGCAGGATTGTTTCCACCATTTACCCTGTGAGTCTGCCCCTGGCATCCGGAGGAATTTAACCGCCTACTGGAATTCCTATGGGAAGCATTCCGTTTCGGACTGCATCTGGCCCGGTTCGTCTTGGCAAATATGACTGACCTCCCTACAGGACCTCCATGGGTATTGCACATTATCCTTCGACGATGTGAGACGTATGATAGAAAGTTTCCTTACCACCAACTATGTCCTTTAGTTGGATTCATCGGTCGTGAGGAACAAGGAGCAGCCATGGGTGATGCCGTGTCTTCTGCCATCTTGCGGCTGTTCAAATACTCCCGTGAAGTGTTGACCCCCGGCCCCACTATTCCAGCCCCACTGGATGGAGGAACCTCTAAGCGTGCTTCACTTCAAGGTGAGGAGTTGCCCGTCTTTGTTGCGTCCTTCCGTGACGACAGTCGATTTTTTTTGCACTTGGTCCCGACCTCCAGTCTCAAAGGGACAACGTACGAAAATGGGCATGGAACATCCTTGAAGCCCGTTAGCGTACGAACGCCATGAATATTGAAGATTCCCACGTTGACATTTTCTTGGGACTCAAGTTGACTTGGGAACCATTCGGTCTGTCACTGCCGTCTTCATTTCGTGACCCTTGGACAACGGTTGTACATAGATCCCACGATGCCCCGGCCACAAAACCCTGGCATAGTTGGGCTCCAAGCGCTCAGAAGAAGGCTGCTAATTTGTGTTTTTTTGCGCCGCTGCTGGTACCAGTCGAACAACTCTGCTGACTGCCTGTAGCGCCGCAATTTTTGAAGCCATACTGCTTCTAATTCACTCCTGCGCCCGCAAGTGAGCCAAAACATGGAAGCGCCTATATCCTTAAAGCATCCCGGAGGGCCCCTAATTGAATCTGCTCTCAAACAGGCTCACCAGTTTGAAAAACGTGTGTTCGCCGCCACAAATGTCTCACTACCACGCTGCCTGTATAGATATATAGTGTATTGGGCCGTTAGCTTGCACATACCGTGCTGCTCCTAACATGTTCAACCTTTCCAACCTTCACCGCCTGCGCATTTCCCTCCCAGCACTTTACCCCTTCAATGATACCTCCGTCCGGGCTCACACACACAGCGCAGGTGGAGGAGGCTGTGGAGTGCTGTTTTCGTTGCCTTGAGGCAATTCCTAACCACAACTTATCACTTCAGGTTCTTTCTTTCAAGATGATGCCACACGCACATTAGAGCGGCACCAGATCGGGGTGACGGGGGTGGGGTTGCGTGGGGGAATGATGTTCAGTTGGATGTGCTTCGAAGATAATACCACATGCATACTCACGCATGCTACCAGACATGTGAGGCATGTGCGCCGTGGACCTTTGGTTGATTGAAAGTGCACGCGTGCAAGATAGGTGCCTGTGGGAGCCTGGCCAGGCACTTTCTTCCAAACAGATTGCTTTGTAAGAAATGTAGAAACACAGATGTCGTGGCCTAGCTTCGCTGCAAGAAAGGTCAAAAGGACTTGCTGTCAAAGCCAGGCAAACGCCTCTCTAGCCAAAACTTGAGTTTTACTGTAACGTTTCACGCATTTCGCATTTAGTACTCAACCAACGAGTCTAATCTTCACTGTCACACCGACATGAGATGCTACAATGATAAGACAATGTACAAAACGTGCTGATTTTGACCGTGGGAAATCAAAATGCACAAAAAACACGGGGCTTCAGACCCACAGGATGATTAGGATATCAATATAATATGTTTATGGTCCTCGCGGGACCCCAAGTTCATTTAACTATATTTAACTTGTTTTACTTGCACGTTGAGGAGAGTGTACTTTCCAGAGCAAATTCCTGGGGACATCACCCAAAAATGACCCAAAAGAGGCAAAACCACATACTGTATATACTAAGATGTACTAGTACCTTCCTGGAACCAAAAATTGGTTTCACTGTATTTTTGGCAGGAATCTTGGTTGCTTGTCTAGGAAGAGAAGTTCCATACACAACTGGAGGAACAAGGTATTAAAACGTATTATATAGTATTTTCCTGCAAACAAAAAACCAAGATGCCAAAAACTCTATGGAATCTTGGTTCTGGGTTCCAATAAGGTAGTAGTACATCTTGGCACCTCCTGTGGTGCAAAACATCTTGCTCAAAAACTTGTAAGCAGCATGGAGTTGAATACCTGCCACTGGAGGTATGCGTACCTTCTTTGTGTCGTCAACTACCTCCTTCAGCCTTTGGTCGACTCGGTCGACTTTGTTCATGACAGTTTTACTGACAGTTGCCCAAATTGCAGGTGTTTTTGGCGCAATCAACCTTGAAGATTTTACATGTCCTGATTATGTTTATAGATAATGAACTGCCACATAGACGTGATATGCCTGTTGTTCATTATGATCAGCATGGTACTGCTATTTTTTTGCAGCATTGGTGGTTGAGACTTTGACATGCTTGAACTTGCTTGATTGTGGCGTGTTTTTGAACAATTGTAAGATGTGACAACAAGGGTATTTATTATTGACAGCAACTTGCAGATCAGGTTGTTTGAACCAAATGAATCATAAACTACTTTTCCCTGTAACTGTATATTTGGAGGTTTGCTGGGTGCAAAGGTGGACGAAAGTTCATGTTGTAAGAACAATTGCGGACATTATTTTGTAAATTGGATGTGCCTGGCTTAGCAAAACGCAGCACATGACACACAAAACTTGCACTTTGGTCACATATTAAGTCATACCTAGTCCTTCTAATGCTCGCTATGAGAAAAGACCTTCCTGTTCTTTCCTGAATAGTTGGGACTTCTAGATAGCATATATAGATGAACAGAAAGGGTCGACCACAAGATGTAAAGCTTGCTGGAGCAATAGAAAAGCCTGTTAAGATAAGGCCAACATTGCTAAGGGAAGAGTGTTGAGGGTAGAGGAAAAGATACAGAATCAACATTGTATGTATATATATATGCATGCTTTTGGTGGCCATTCCCCAATGTAATAACCTGTTTCAAAACCTTTTTGTAAATCCGTTAAACTATATATATATATATGTTTTCAATTGAGCAGCGTCAAAAACCTCTCACGAACAGTTTAAGCAACCTTGTAAACTCCAACTTGCCCGCGGAAGCCAAAACTGCAGTCGTTGAAGCTTGCGGAAGCCACTGCGTAAGTATATGGTAAAATTCACCATCGCTGAAGCTTTGCGGAAGTGCATATGTTATCTTCTTGACAGTAATAACTGCCTCTATACTTTAAGAATATTTGTCTAACCTGTGAGCACTTTTGAGAAATACGTCGCGGAAGCGCCGCGGAAGAGGATTTCAACCAAACATGGCCCGCGGAAGCCGAAACGCAGGTCGCGGAAGCTCCGCGCAAGCATTGGCGAAGCGAGTCATGAGTATAACAGATCGTAGACCGCTTTTGACACCGCTCAATTGAATCAACATCTCTATATAACATTTTCAAAGCGTGATTATTTGTATGTATAATGGTATGTTTCTAGATTTTGTTCCAATCAACATCCACTTGTAAGTTCTGTCTATATAAAGTTATATAAACTCTGAAGCTCAAGTCCGCATATTTGACATCAATCACTCAAGCGGGGTCCTGGGGGGGGGCGGACAGCAGCCTGTATCTAATATAGTATAAAGTATAGCATATATATATAGTGTTGCATGTTTTTAGGTTCAAGTACACTGTTAGCCATTAGCATGACCATTCACAGGGAGGCCTTGTATGTTGTGGAACTTCACAGACCTACTCTCTGCAGGATCATTTGCTTCATTTGTCCCGTCGCTTCGTGGAGGCAGGATGTTTACAGCTTGTTGATGTGAGCAAACGAAACCAAAATAGATATGTCCAATGTACCATATCAGACTTCGAACCACAGAACCTCAAGGCCTCTTTAGGCCTGAATGGAGTTTCTGATGTTCATTAAGGCGCTTTGGGTGCGTACGGATTGCTTTCGCCGGTGGGCTGCCCTGGCGGATTTGTGCCTCCTGGGAGAAGGGCAAGGCGCTGCAAGAGGTGTTCCTTGTAGCTCGGTTGAATAGCGGATAGCAATGGTGTTCCTTAATCAAGACAACACCGTCGAACCCCGTCGGGTCCTATGGAAGAACTTGCGGACACGTATCTTGTTTTGATTCAATGACGCATTGGACGGGATTTTGATGGATTTTGGATGATTTTGGATATTTTGGGCTTGTTGCGGTTTCCCAAACCCATTGGCATCATTCGACCCCCAGCAGTTTCCAGATTTGCCCACTGTAATGGCCATGGTTTGGAGGGCAAGGGTCATGCGGTGAACGAAATAATTACTCGGTGAGAAAGCCGGCTGCCTACCGGTGGCCCATTGTGATTCTTGACATGCTTTGCTTTGATCCAAAACAAATCATCGTTTCAATTTCCAGATGCCTTTTTCGGATTCATTTTGTGATTGGTTGAATTGGTTGCCTGAGCTGAAGGCCTCCCGAATCGACAACGCCTTGCCCTACTCTTTGTTTTAGATGGAGCCTTACACTGTGCAGAGGCAGGTCAGAGAAGCAAGCAGGACTCACTAGAAGGCAATAACAAGATGGATCATGACAAATGACAGAGACCTTCAACACTTGCTCGGCTTGTTCCGCTTTTCAGCGCCGTTTTCCGCATCTTCACAGGTCGTGTAAAACACAGCACCACAGACCACGCCAGGCACCAAAAGATGCCACAGAAGCATTGCTGCCACGATTACCAAGACTTTTCGAGCTCTTCGCATCCGAGGAGGCGACGGCATCAAGTGCGATCCGGGTTCACTCTTCGAAAAGCGATGTTTTTCTTGGAATCTGAAATGAGAGAGCCGAGCCGAATGGGAGAATTAAAATGGTGCTGAAACAAAGCCTTACAAATGCCCTGAATGAGACATTGTACAATCAGAAACTCAACAAGATGGTCACTTTTCTTTGAGCCGCCCGAGGGAAGCTTCCCGGATGTTTTGGCATCGATCACCCGCCGTATGATTTGCTCGGCCTGCCACTTGTCCTGCAGGGCTCTTGAACCAGTACCAAAGGTTCATGGCGAGATATTCCAGCAAAGTACTGCAGGGGATCCAGCTTGCTTGGCTCTGCGGACCTCCGACATTGCTAGAGCTATTCTGCTGGTTCTTTACACCTCTTCACATGTCTGATTCATGAAGGGATCGCAATGCAACGAGGTCGACCAGGAGAGTCTGAGGCGCCCTGCTCGTCCGCGGGGTCTTGCATCAAGGCAATCACTGCCCTTGAGGACACATTGGTCTAAGTGATCTAAGGCCATTTTTCTTGCCGGCTTTTCCTTGAACCCTCAGATCATCGTGAACACCTCCTTTTTGGACAAAAGCCATACAGATAACTGTTACAAAGCCTTGCAGTGTGGATGGGCCAATATAATTACTCATGTCTTTCCAGCACGTCAAGCGCCAGTGTAGAGCGCGGAGTTGGACACCATCAAAGACTCCAAGACACAGAGGCACCTAAGGCAGCATTTGGCAAGTTTTCCATTGGACGAAACTGTCCATAACACATTGATCTTGTCGATTTTGCATGGATGTCCGCCAACGCAGGTGCCCTTGCCCCGCGCGCTCTTGGTGCCTGTGGTCACTGCCCTGAAGAAGAGCAGATCGAAGCGCTGTGGGCAAGCCGATCTGGCTGAAGCGCTGGCAACCTGGGCACATAGGCTGGGCGATTAGGTGGTGATGTCACCGTGTCTCAAAAAGTTAAATCACAAGCGTGGTGAGCTCTTGTGAGAAAACGCACTCTTTTTCTTTGATCCAAAGACCTCAGAGGCTGTTTGGGTGTCCACGCTTTAGTTGCTTGGCAGGAGCTCAGAAGTCCAAGCAGCTACAAGCTCTTTGGCTTTCTTAATGCTTTGCCAAAAGGGAACATGCCATGGGCCATGACAATGTTTTGATTTGGTCCCCTTTGAGACCTCGCTGGTCACTGCTCAAGCAGGCAATATCTTCCAGAATCTCCCCCAAACTATTTCCCAAGAACTAGAGATAGATCATAGTCACCGAACAAAGTCTAAGGTCAATTGGTGCGAGACCTTTACAGCTCTCTGGAAGCGCAAATGCCACGGCCTGGTGCGGCTTTAACACGTCACCCACCTTCATTGGGTGATTGCGCGACCCTGAGCCCATTGCTCGCACTTGGGCGCCGCGGTGTGGATCTCTGGACCGCGGTGATGTCCAGCTTGCTGTGTCGAGTTTCCAGAGATGAGACGGCGTCTCCCTTTTTGAGTCTTTTGTTGTTTTGCATTCATGTGTCTATCAAAGAGGAGACAAACAAAGAGCATCATTAATGAGACACATTCTTGAACATTTATGACAAAAAACACAGATCAACAAAGGCAAATGTCCTGTTCAGTTCTGGCTCGTAGACCGTGTGAGGTGTTGTTGTTTTTTTTTTTTTTAAAGTTTCTTCAGTTTGGATTGCTACTCTACTATTGCAATGTATTGCAGATTGCACCAAATTATATACCAAATCTGTCTTGACCCACAGCCATATCCACTGCTTGAGCTGCAAGGAGCTTGGACAAGACAGGCCATCAAGCTTCAGTGGATGCAGACGTCATTTGTTGAATGATGCTCTCAATGCTCTCAGAAAACTTGAACTTTGCCGGGTTTCATTTCAGAGATGAGTTGGCCAAATTGTGTTTGGGCTCGCTTGCAAGGCTGCTCCAACAATATTCTTCGATCCACCGTTCATGTCCTCGAGGTTCTGAGCCATTTGTTTGGTTCTAGGCTTCTAGGTTCTAGGTTTTACAAGCGCAGCTAGTAGATTCAAGCTCCAATTTCATCAGCTTGGCACGCTTGGAATTTTGTTCAGTGTGCAACACTGAGCGGCAATGTCCATTTTGATTGTGCTTGATTTGAAGATTTTTTTTGGATGTATCATTGATATCTTAGATACGTGCACTCCTTGTCGCACAACTGCAGGCATTCAACAACCAAGTTCCAGGACACTGCGCTTTCTCAAGTTCAGAAAAGAGGTTCCAGAGACTGCGCATGTTGTATATTATGCTGGGTCCAAGTTAGCTTTAATCCTGAAACACAAAACCTAAGAGAATCATAGATAGTATCTCATGCATCTATATAATGTAGAAACACACGAAGAGATACACTATTCTGCCCAGGAGGACAACCTGGAGAGCTTTCAGTGCAGAGAGCTTCTGAACTCATTGAATTGATGGTTCTCCTGAGCACTTGGCGTGCCAGGTGCGGTGACGCGGGGTGGATGACCTTTACTCACCCCGTGTCGTAGAAGATGCATGTTTTTTGCCCGCTCCTACTTATTTATGTAAGTAGGCGCCTACTTAATTAAGTAAGGAGGCAAGCTACTAGCAATAGGAAGCTCCTAATTAGCTAGGACCCAGGATAGCTCACGCTTCTTCAAGGAAGCTCCCCTCGCCTGAGGGCGGAGGGGAGCTTCCTTAACGAAGCGCTCGCACTATTCATGTGGTTCCTAGATTTTTTAAGGAAAACTTAACAAGTCTCGCTTGCATTCCAACATGCAAGGCAGCTAAGTTCTTATGATGTGGCAGGCAGCTCACACTGTCGGAGAATGGCAAGGAAAGCGGAGGTGCTTCACTATGGTGGAGAGGGTCAAGATGCCTTCAGAACCTTCACTGTTGGAAGAATACATTGACATCTGAGGTTCCTCACAAACTTCATGGCCAGGATTCCTCATGTACTTGGCCAGGATTCCTCATGTGCTGCAACCTTGCCCGGGCATGTTGTGCGAAGGCCGCTGGAGAACATCCAATGTGAGAGTTGTCCAAACGAGTTTGGTTGGCCAGTTGGATTTTCAGCATTCTAGGGCTGAACGCTGACGCACGCAAATTGGTTGTAGTTGCATTTTCTGTGTATATATTAATATAGTAATATGTATTATATATATTATACACTGTATATATATATGTATGATTTGGCTGTGTTGCTGTGAAATGACTTACTCAACAAGGCCTTTGTGCATCATTTCTGCTGTTGTTTGCGGTTAGTTTGGGTCTCTCGCGCCTCGCGCCGTATAGTCTTTTTTTTGGTATCATCCTGCAAAAAGGCGCCATGGCACTGGCACTTCCTCCGTGCCCCGAATGCAAAAGCACCGCAAGCCTCGTTGCGCTGGACACTGCCTATTATTGCCGTGCCTGTTCGATTTCAAGGTGTCTCAGTTGTCACAACATGTGGAATGCAGACCACAGGTGTGCTACCTCAGTGGCCTTGTCCAAGTCCTGGGAAGGCTTCAAGGACTTGGCGGAATTCGAGATTCAGCTAAAGCCCATGGGTTTCAAGAGATGTCCGGCTTGCCAGTATCCGTGCGAAAAGGAAGACCCTGCTTCTTGTGATCATATCACATGTGAGTGTGGCCACGAATTCTGTTGGCTTTGTGGTGAAGATCGAAGAGTGATCTATGCCCATGACAACAGCTATCACCACCCCAGCTGCAAGTTCTACATACCATGTGACGAGAAGCCCAAGCTGGAGAAGAAGTGCCCCAGATGCAAAGAGACCGGAGTCCCGTGCATGCGGCCCTCCGAGCGGGAAGCAGCAAAGAAAACCAATCAGCAGAAAGAGGCTTTGGGCCTCTACGTCAAGAATTGGAGAAAGACGGATGAAAACGACGCCGCCTTAGTGTCCGAGAAGACAGAGGCTGTCCCGAGATCAGCCAATCCATTTGGAATGGAAGTGTTCTCTCAGATGTTTTGCGGTGGCCCCCTTGCATCCTGCTGCCGTGTTCTTGGAACTGATTCGATCAAGAGGTAACCGAAGGGAATCCAGCCAGTTCCTCCAATCGCCTGAGGCCATTAATGAAACTTGCATGGTTCTTGGTTCTCATGAAGGAGACACTCATGATTTTTTCGGCTTTCAAGAAGCTGACAATTGCATGAATCGATGAGCTTTGCTATTTTGGTTTCTTCATTCCGCAGAGACGGATATGCTAGACCCTTCTCGCAAAGCCCGAACTCGTTTGGCTGCATGGGCAAGCGCTGTCAGCCTCTGTGGCTTTTATTGGAGTGCACTCATCACTTATTAATCATACCATCCCTCACAATTCAATTGGAGTTTTATGTGCAGTTAATATTCCAATAGGTAGTGAAAGTGCCACAGTTGCTGCTTGCTGATCTCATCAACATGAGCCCAAAAAGTGTGGTTGCGTCTCATGATCATAGCTGATTTGTGCGAGTGCTTGACAGCAGGTTGTGAGTGCTTGACAGCATATGTAGACAACATTGATGAGCGCATACTGCATACGGTCTTACAACTCAACAAGCGAAAGCACCAAATGAAAAGGATTTGGCACCTGTGTTCAGGTCATGGGTGGCGAAAGACATCTCATGCTGCGATTCCAGGCGTTCAGCGGATTCTTGCTACTGCTGCAGCTAGAGTACTTAGGGTCACTCGTTGAGAGAGAAAGGGAAGATATAGGAAGATCCAGCAGCGGTACTTTAAGTCTTCAACGCGGGGAAGTGAAGATGTGTCCTTTGGATCCGCAATCTGGGATGTTTTGGCGGTCCTCAGCACCATGGGAACTGGTGCAGAGAGAGACGCTGGCACTCTTAAAACTGTCTTGCATCTCCATGGGACGGACCTGCCAGACAGAAGTTCTTTTGAATGTCCCGCATGTCCTACAAGGATTCTTTCGAAGAAAAGTAGCAACAACATGCCTGCCTTTAATTTCCAGTCACAACTGACCAGAGACCGTGCTGCTGTGTGGAGACACTTCCAGCTGAGGCACAAAGAGAACAGCGGCCTTCCAACAGTCACGGAGGAGCACTTGCTCGCGTTGGATGCAGCTTTTCAGGACTCTTGGCGCAGTTCCCCAGGAATCATGGGGTGGTAGGGCCTGGATAGTTGAAAGTACTTTGCAGCTTGCACTGTGAGAGTGGGGAGGCTTTCATTTTTTGTCATCCTCTACTGAGCCTGATCCTTCCAACATTGTAGGCAGATCGGGGCATTTGTGGCTAGGACTTGGTGGATCATTCAGGATTCTCAAAACGCAGAACCACAGCTGCGGACGGCTGTATTCTTTCAGCTTTCAGGAGATCATCCAAATCAAGTTCATCAAACAAAATGATCAACATGGGTATTCAATGATATTTGTTTTGGCATGTTTCAACTTTTGGAATGTTTGTCTTCCGGCCCAGTCGAGGCCTTCTACAGTGGCAGGGCAACCAACTGTAACTGGCGTCAACCATCAGAAGCCTTGGCTGGTCGAGAGGTGACATCATGCAGGTCTGTGCCGGCAAGAGTTTTTGCAGGGGATGGAGGAAAGTCTCTTTGATTCGAGAGAGACGTTTTGCTTGATCTGGAGCACACAGAAATTCTGACATCCTAAAAACTTGTTCTTCCTATTCGTTCGGTGCACACACACATGTTTGACAAGAGGAGCCATTTCGATGATCGGAGTCTTGAGATGAATCAGGTGGCTGCTCGACAGATACCTTCAAGACGGTGATGATCTGGAAATCCCAGCGGAGGTGGATGGGATTTTTTGAGATTTATGTTTTTTAAGCGTTGGCCCTACACAGGATCCATTAAGATCCGCTTGTGAGAGTCTGAAAAAGAGTGATTCATAGAATCAACAAGTCAAGCGGAACTCCAAAGTGTTGAAGTGGCCAAACACTGCTGGTACTTGTACGCCTGCACTTGGGTCTGAAGATGTTGAAAGAGACATTTTCTTTGGATGTGTTGGATGCAGAACTGCAGAACTGACAGCTTTTTTGCGAGTGGAGTGATGCACCTGGATCTGAATGATGCGTACAACACGATATAGTGCGTAGCATTTCAGATCATTGAGTGATCTCCGTTCAGCCAGTTACAGCCTGCAAAAGACCAAAGTGAACTGCAAAGAAAACAAATAGAAGACAAGTCGAAGGGAGTGGTGGCCTGGGAGATCAGCTGACGTGTCGGTTTCGCGACGGGGGTTTCATCTCTGCAAGGCCCAGGCAATGGTCGCAGCCTCCGCATCGAGGATGCTAGCTGAATGTGAACATGAGGTGGGAAAAGAGGATGCGAAAAGCTTCATAACAATGTCCTCCAACCTACTAGCAATGGCCTCCAACCTATATAATTTCAGAGGCAAACGGAAGGGTAGGGCACAGAAAGAGTTTCGCAGAAACCTATTCTACTAACATCGTGGAAGGCGCCGGCTATTCGTAGAACCCGGGGCATTTCATGGAATGGTGGACCAGTATAGGAGAACTGACTGCAACAAAATCCCAGAAACCTTCTTGATGCACTAACGATTTTTGCTGACCCCCTTTCTCCAGAGACCCTCCATTTAGCCGTCATAATCTGAAGCAATGACCAGTAACCTAGTAGCAATGGCCTCCAACCTAGTAGCAATGGCCTCCGACCTGGTAGCAATGGCCTCCAACCTTGTTGCAATGGCCTCCAACCTAAGTGTGATGGCCTCTACTCCAACCTAAGAGCGATGGCCTCCAACCTAGTAGCAATGGCCTCCAAGCTAGTAGCAATGGCCTCCGACCTAGTAGCAATGGCCTCCAATATGGTAGCAATGGAATTCAACCTAAGAGTGATGGCCTCCAACCTAGTAGCAATGGACTCCAACCTAAGAGC